GTCACAGGGTTGCGGTAATTACCCACCGATATGCATCAGACATATGTTCACTCGCATGGCGAACCTCCAAGCTCTCGTAATAACCGAGAAGAGGGAGACATCGGAAAAACTTGGCAGCACGAGGCAAGAGACGTCAGGACTGCACTGGGCTGGCTCCTCACCAGCGGCTGTCTGTCTCCAGAACCAGGCGATAAATCATTCTGTACACCTTGTCTACCTAGATAAGACCTGCACACTTCCTAGATCCTAAGACACTGACATCTGGCATTTTGGCCACATTTTTCCACTATAATTGAGTTGCTTTCACTGTGCTTCTCCCTGGGATTTCACTACACACCTAGGAGACAGACAGCTGACAAGCCCAGTGTTAAAATAGAGGTCCTTCCATGATAACAGGCTCGCTAATCCATTTGTTTAGGGATATCCCCAGTATGGTGTAGGGGTTTTCTTATGCATGCCCAAGGAGAAAGTATTAACAAGCAGTAAATAAAATAAGGATTGTCTATGCAAAGATCGCCAAGTGACAAGTCTCCTGCTTTTCAAAAGCACACACTTGCCAATATGTCAGACTGAAGTGACCAGCCTATGAAGTATCGAATGTGTCCCGTCCAGGCAGACAGTTTCCGATGAAGTGACCAGTCAGGTAGCCTGGAAAATAGACACTGGGTGATTAAGTGTCCTATTGCAAAGATAGTAACTTCAGAAACAGGACACTAAGCCCCTAATTAAGCCTGCCTATGAGTTAATATACTCAGCTTCTCTGTCTGATCAGAATATTCTACACACACATGTCTGCCTGCCTTCATAAAGCGAGTGTACCCAAACTACAGAGCACAACGCAGTTCTCAATGCAACGCTTCCGCAGCGATGCAGAGCGATACGGCTTTCTGCAACACTATAAACTACCCATAAACGACGAAGCAGAACGAAGCAGGTCTCCACAACGCCCCTGCAACAAGATCACCTTCTCCAGCGGACGATGGCACAGTGATTTCGATACTTCGGCCCGGGCTCTCCCAGAACCCAGGCTTCTTTCTTGAGCCCGGCCCGGCCGACAGCCTGTGAACTTTTGTCGGAGGAGGACAAGTCTGCGAGCCTGCCTGCCTTCCTTACAAGGTCAGGCTCGGGGGGGGAGACACGGTACAGCACGTGAGAGTTTGCCGTTTGGGAGGTTTTGATTAACACTGCCTGCACGCCACACGTCCACGCGGCGGGGGGGTCTTTCACTAACTACGGGACCCCAGCGGGCCCAAACGTGCCTTTCAGATCACACTGCAGCGGCCCCGTGTTTTCACCTCGCTGTCCCCGGGGGCCGCAGCTGTCCTGTGGAGGGGTTTCTCGGGGGCAGGGTCACGCCCGTTGTGGCGGGTGGCTTTTACCTGCGGAGCGAAACTGCTCGTTTCCATACCAGTCCCCCCTCACCCCCACCCCCGCCTTGGGCAACCGGCTCCCGGAGCCGGATCCGCGTCTGCGATAAGCGCCGGGAGCGCCAGTCGGCAGGGCGGGAGAGTCTCTGATCGAATAATGAGTTATTGATCTCGCCTCGCCTGAAGCCGCGGTGTTGTCTGCCGTCACGATGGCCGAAGGATTAGGCCACTCTCTTCCTCTTATCTGAAGCCTCTATAGTTCACACATCGAGCGGGATAAAGAACGGTGTAATAGCGCCAGCGCTCACGCTGCGTGCGTGTCTGCGGCGGGGGAGCAGAGGACGGAAGGAAGACCTGCCAACGTGCCATTTTTTTAATTAGTGAGCTGCTATTATTTCTGTTGTTTTCTGTTGGTCCCCAGGGAGTGATCTGTCACGTCGCTAGCTCCAAACCTAGTAATCATACCCCTTTATCTCTGTGAATACAGTACTTAATCTGTCTCTCGACAGGCGCTGTCAGGAAGGGAAGGGGGGGTCAGTCTGTTATTGAATAATAACCTCCTTTCAGTCAGACACTGTTCTGCTCTCTGTGGTTGTTGTTTGTTTGTTTGTTTTGGGGTTTGTTTTTCTCCACTGAGATGGCTGGGGAATGGATGGGAAGAAGAGGCGAGATTATGTCCACAGAGGCAACGAACCAGGGGACAGACACATAAAACCGGAGGCCGCGAGCGGACCCACTGTGGAAGTGCACTCTCTAAACCAGCAACGCGGGGGGGGGCTTCTTTACGCAAAGGGTTGCAGGAGTGTGGAACAATTTAAAGATCCGTAGTTTGCCATAGCCTTGTGCCTGGGCACTGCGCTCTAAAGACGCATTGGGGGTAGAAGGTGTTCCTCCTCCTGAACACTGAACACTAAAACACTGAACACTGAACACTGAACACTGTTCAAACACGCGAGGAAGACGCGTCTTGCGGTGGCCAGTGCTCTCAGACACCCTGCAGCCCTGCGGCCCGGCGCTGTCCGAGATGAGTGGGGTTTTTAAATGTGGACTTTGACGCCTGCGCACATTTTCCTTCTTCAAAAGACTCGTTTCTATTCTTATAAAACCGTAAAAAAAAACAACAACAGATATTTAACAAAATATCCTTCGACGAAGGACGGTCCACAAGCGACAATAATGTACAGTATTCCTAGTGACTAATCAGATCACGTTTTTAGCTCGGTAAACGCAGAGAGCACCGCTACTGAGGGGGCTAGGAATCACCCCCGGCGTAAAGGAGTTGTTTTTTTTCCCCCCACTGCTTTCAAATATCGTCTTTTTTATCGTCCTCTTGAAGGTCTTATGGTTACCATTTGAGAAAAAATAAATAAAACTGGTGACTTAGGTCACAGTTTCCATGGTTATTTCTGCGCGGAAATTGTCGACGAGCTGAGCGACGGGGCTACAAGGCCGCTCCCGAGACCGGCGCGTGTCTGCAGGGATTCTGGTCTCTTCCGGAGGACCTGTGTGATATGGGGGTGCGCTGATATAGGGGTGCGCTGGGTCCCGAGATCTGCGCTGCTTTACGCTGTTAAAAGCCGAGTTGGAATGGATCCCCGCTCTCACACCCTGGCCCAGAACTGGATCAGGACTGTCCAGAATTAAAAAAAAAAAAAGATTTAAAGGGCTTCGCCTCGAGAAAAGCAGCGCCGTTACCCTGCAGCCCCCAGCTGGCAGCCCCACTGGAGCCCAGCAGGGTGAGCCTGGCCAGTACCTGGAGGGGAGACTCCTGGGATCAACTGAGGCTGCTGCTGGGAGAGGTGTGAGCGGGGCCAGCAGGGGGCGCTCACCCTGCGGTCTGTGTGGGTCCTAATGCCCCAGTATAGAGATGGGGGACACTACACTGTAAAAAAGGCGCCATCCTTCGCATGAGACCTAAACCCGAGGCCCTGACTCTCTGTGGTCATTAAAAATCCCAGGGCGTTTCTCAAAAAGAGTAGGGGTGTTACCTCTGTGTCCTGGCCAAATTTCCATCGGCTTTTAACCCATCATGACCTCCTAATAATCCCCATCCCTCTGCTCTCCTCCCCAATGAGAGCTGGTGTGTGAGGAGAGTACTGGAGCATCATCCAGGTGGGGCTGCGCACTGGTGGGGGTGGAGGGGATCCCCCCTAAGCTGCACGGCGCTGTGAGTGGCCTGTCCAGAAAGGCGCTATATAAGTCTAAGGAATTCGCTGGGCGCGCGATTCCCCGAGAGGCCCCGGGGGAGGTCGCGGCGCGGCGCAAAGCCAGGCGAGTTTTCAAGCTCGTTTTCCTCCGCTGTCACAAGTAATTAAGGCCGCCGCGAGGATGCAGATACCTTATTATTAAGCAGCAAACGAGAGGGCGACTCCGCAGAAGTGGGGGGCTCGTTTCCGGAACTGACCCGTTGCCTTTCGCCCAGAACCCGAGGGCGCCGGAGAAGCGCCTCTGCTCGCCAGTCTAACGATTTCCTGCCGTGGTTTTCAGAGCCACCGCTGTCTCCTTACGCGCGTAAAGGTAAACGACAGCTGGGCTCAGTCTTTATCAGTATTATGGGGAAATCATTGCAGTTTGAGACACTGCATCAGTGTCCATCAGTACAGGGACGGGCTCTCTGGAATCTGTCCACACCTCCCCGGCAGGGGCTGTAACTCAGATCATGACCCTGAAACCATCCTTTCCTCTCGACTGGGGGACAGTGTAACTGCGGCCGATCGGGCGGGTATTCGCAATGCTAAGCCACTCGGGAATCGATCTGGACGGAAGATCTGAAGACAGTGCTCACTCGATCGGGCGACTGAACTGCTTAGTGGATCAGGAGTTTGACAAGTATCCCCCAGACCGGACCGGGGCTCTCCGGGAATTTTAGGATGGGGGACTCCGGCTCCAGAGGCTGCCCTGCCCTGAAGACCCCCCCACCACCACGCTCACACACACACACACACACACACACACACGCGCTTCCCCGCGCGACGTCGCGTCTCGAGCCCCTGCCCCTGCACTGACGCCGAACCGCCTGGGCTGATGAAGGAGAGCGAGCGCGCACACGCACGCACACACACACACACACAAGCAGGGAGGGAGGGAGAGAGAGAGAAGTCTAAAGTGATTTATCCACACCTCCCACGGCACACAGCGCCAGCACTCGGCGAGCGAGAGAGTGGTTACCTGGATACGGCCAACTTATTCCCGCCCGTTAATGGACACGGGCTCAGTCGAGCGGGCGCAGCAGCTGGCGAAAGCACCGCGCGTGTTTGTGTGTCTATTAACACATGTATTAATTAATTACTCACGCCGCGAGCTCCAAGGCGCTCCGCACGGCGACTCCCTCTTTATTTCCTGCCTCCTCCCCCCTCCTTGACAGCTATTCCGCCGGTCCTTAGCTCCCTCAGACCCTCCTTTCTGGATACAAGCCGGGCAGCTTTTCCCGAAGTCCAACAACTTCCGACAAGATCCCACAGGGCGGACAGGTAAGCCCGTGTTTCTCCTTGGCTGTGTGCGCGTCTCCCTCCCGGGGAAATTAACGTTGGAGGTAAAAAACAAACGCCTGGTTCTACTCTGCCGTAACGCGCGGCGTCGCTTGCCTGGGAGTAATGCTGTTTTATATCTTTTTAGCTTCCCAAGTGAAAACGGTGTTCGCGTACGCCTGTTTTTTTTATATATATTTTTGTTGGTTTGTATTTATTTTCTGAGCGGTACCAAGTTTATCTGCGCTCTCTTTGAAGGTGTGTGTGGCGGTGGTGGGGGTGTCTCTTGCAATGTGCGCAAATACCGGCGGAAGGTGCCAACAGCCGCCAGACTGCACACGCAATTCCGCCTCCCGACGCGTCCACGCAGAAGTGGCTTTTTACCGTCCGACATTCCTGAAGGCTAGGGTTTCCCGAGGGGAGGGGTCCGAAATCGATCTGCGGGGATGTTCCCAGCCGGGGTTGAGTCTGTGGTCAGCCTCAGTGGGGTGCAGACCCGTTTCCCCCTCAGTCTACCGCTTTCATTCAAGGGGTTCCCAGCCCCACCCGTGCCGAAGAACACGCGTGTCCTCCAGTTTGCCGATTTCCAGTTTTTCCTCTCTGGAAAAACTGGAAATCTTTTTCCTCTCTTTTCCTCTCCTTTCCAGTTTTTCCTTTCCTCCTTTTTCCGATCGGCCCGGCTCAGGCACGTCAGCCGGGAGGAGAGCAGACGGACGGGGTGGGCGGGGGGCGCATCGTCCTCCCCACCCGTCTGCGCGTAGCAGCCGTTTCGCTCGTCAAGACCTGCGCCAACCAGGGGGACGAGGGCTTTGGAAATGGTCCGTTTTTAGCTGGGGAACCCGGGTCCGAGCGCGGCGAAAAGAAAGTCAAAACCAGCAGGCAGGCAGATCAGTTAACACGAGCTCTGGCGATAAAAGGGCAGGGCTGGCCTTAGGGGAGGGCGGGGCGCCCCTGCGGGCTGGGGCCTCCGACCACCAGGGGGCGCCCTGCCAAAACCCCTGACTGTCGAGGGCGGCCGATTCCCCGAGCGCACACGTCTCGGCACACGAGAGGGGGGGTGGGATGGCACTTGGCAAATCCGGCTCGGACTTGGGGGCACCCCGGGTGGTTTGCGCCACCCCCGATGTAGAGCCCAGCGGGAACGAACACCAGGCGATACCGGGGTCCCTCCGGGCACAGGAGTGGGGAGGGCGTTCGACCCAGCGCCCGGCGCCGGGAGGAAGGGATTCCTGCGCACCGCCGTGAGCTCTGTGTGGCGCCAGGGGCTGCCCTGTCCTCTCGAGCTCAGCGCCGTGCTCGGCCCGCCATCGGGGGAACACCGCGGGCTCCCCGGCGAATGGTGACCGGTGCCGAGCTCTCCCAGGGGCGGCGGAGACAGAGGGGCCCGTCTTCCCCGGGAGGAGGACTGCTCGTCCCCAATCCTGCGACCACTGGACCCCGAGCTCCGGGATCAAGATCCACTGGGAGTCTCTGGGTCCTGCCGGGCCGAGGGGGGAGACCTCAAGAGGCGGCGGAGCCCCCCCCCCACTGCAGAGGCTCGAGACCCGGGACATGAGTCCGTGTTGGGTCCGACTCAACCACGTGCTCTTCACTGGCCTCCACAGCCTCTGACGCCACCGGAGAAGAGCTCTCTCTCCCCATCAGCGCCGCTCCGGGATCTGGGAGACGTCTGGAAAGCAGCCCAATGGGCAGATTTCGCCGACCCACCCCCCTCTGTTTGCTCTCCTGTAAGTGCTCGTTTAGCGAGTTCGCTCACTTCAGCCTAGCGGGAAAATCGCCGCTCACTTCCCAGAGCCCCCAGCTCCCCGCCGACGACCTGCGTCCAGGAAACCCTTCTGCTCCTGCCCCTTCCCAAGAGCTGCGTTCAGGAACTCGAGCGGTACGATCTTCCGCTTCGACAGACCAGGACGGATGACGCCCGGGGGGCTCCCACCCGTTTCTCGGAATAGGAGCGACTCCAGGCGCCCGGCCGTGAAAAAGGACCCCCGTTCGGTTCTGCCCCCCCTGCCCGGGACGCCGCGTTTGCAGGGCGTCCGAGACGGGCTGACGTACTTTTCACATCTTCCCCCACTGTCGAGCGCGCAGGCTGAAGGATCGAGGGCTGGGCTGTGCAGTTTTCAGAAACCTTTCAAACAAATCCAGTGTCCCTGACCCCCTGTCTTGGGTCCTGGGTTCGAATTTGATTTCTGGTGGGGGGGGGCATGTTCTCTATATGAGTTTCTTCCCACAGTCCAAAGACCTGCGGTAAGATTGTTCTCCAGTATGTGCGTGTCCTGCCCAGTGTGCATGGGCACGTGTGCGTGTCTGTGTGCGTGTGGGGCTCCAGCGTGCCTCAGGTGTCCCTGAGAGTAGATAAAACACAATGTCGAGGTCGAAATCACTCCTGTGACATTCCTCTAGACGGCCAACACATATACTTGGCTACACTGAGAGGTCTGTAACATTGCAGGCTGCTGCAGTAGTTGATTCGCTCTCAGACGGGGGGCAGGTGTCTGTGTCTGCGGCTTACTAATGCAGTGGGACCAGATCAAGAGCTTTTCCAGGCGTTGAAGTACAGACTATGATCCCTGGAGCCTTTTGAGCTGCAACCCATCCTGTACAGCGGTGCTTTCAATGACATGCTGGGCGGAGACGAGGCAGGGTTAAAGACACATTGAGCTCGGACATCTGGCAGCAAAATGTATTTGACGTAAGGTTACAGGTGAGCAAAAACCAAGTATGGCCTCCTTTGGTTTGGTCACCTTTTCTAAGGCTCTTGTTCTTCACTTAAACTGACGGAACTGCGGATTACTAGTAGATCTTGAAAAAGCACTGTTAACAAGTAGCTGAGCAGCATGCCATTGTTTTCCTATGATCCAGATAGATGTGGTCCAGTCGTGCAGTTTAAGCCATTTGGCAGTTGGGTGCGAATATTTGCACGCAGGTAGGTAGGTAGATAGGCAGACCTGCCTGTCTCTGTTATGCAGCTATGCCAAGACTCTGACACACCATCTCAGGTAATACGCAGTTTGTATGATCTCTCCCTGCCTGGGGAGTGTGTTTCCTTGAGTGGCACACAGTAGGAGGCGTGTCTGTCGGGGGATGTATGCAGCTGTCCCTTACCAGAGAGAGCCCCCCCAATGTTCACGACACTCAGGGGTTGACTGCACAGACACGTGACGGTCCGCACCCACCCCCACTACCTTTCAACACCAGAAGCCAGCGGGCGCGTTCCTGAAAGCGGCCCCATTAGTGTGAGAGCCGATTAAAAAGGCATTCGTCGTGTGCATCTGTTTGCGAGGTCGGAGCTCTCGGCGCGCGGAGAAAAGCAAAAACAACATCTGTGATAAATGCGTGCTTCACCATAAGCACAATTAGCGGTGCTTTTGCAAAACGCGCTGCGCACTCCAGCTGACAATCTGCCTCTTAGGATAAGCAGCATCACTTGACAAAAGAGGCTTTTATGTCCCCTGTACACCTGCCCCCTATGAACCTGCGACGGCCTTGATCTGCATTTGCACGATTCGCGATTTGTCAGTACCGTTCATTCAGAGGCGTTCCGCTCTCTCCCGCGAATGGGCTCCACGCGGCGGGTGGGGATCTCACGCCTTCAGCTCTATAATCTCGGCTGAAAGACGTTTATTGGGGAGGGCGGATTGCAAGCTCTTGATCGTCGAAAAACATAATAAAAAAGAGTTTGAACAGCCTGCTCAACCACCAGAGCCGTCGTACAGCGCGTCGCCCTGCGCCTCTCCCGGATCGCATTCCGTCTTTTAACAGGTGCACAAGCGCTTTAACGTCTCTTACAATTACGCAGGGTGCCTGCAGAAAGCAAAGGACGAGAATCTTCTGCGCAATTCACTTTAAAAAACCCTCATTTTCCTATTATTATGAACAGGGACTATTTAAAGACCTTCATAAGAGCAATTGATTCACCACCTTACTGGTGGGCACTAAACTCTGAAAATATCTTGTGAGTTTAATGCTCTCCTTATGATGTCTTTCTCTTCTCTGGCCCTCCGGTCTCGCTCCAGTTTTGCGTGGTGACTTGATTGACTGAGACCTGCTTTTCGCGTCCTTCATCTTTCTTTCCCCAGCTGGACCGCACCGGGCGCTAAAAACCAGAACGACGTTCCACTGCATCAGCTCTCGATCGGACACACGCTCAGGGTGCCCGAGGGGGCGTGGGGAGAGGACTGGGGTTCCCCGCTCTTTAGCAACAGAAAGGCTTCAGAAACTGGGGCGCCCCTGGAGCAAAACTGGTTGAAGGTGGCTCTGTATGTAAACTGACATCTCCGATAGCTCTGCCAGCCTAGCGGAATCTGACGTGACCTTACCCAGCAGCAGGTCGAGCTGGGGGCACAATTCCCCGTCCAGCATTTCCACAGCTCAGTCGGGTCCTGTCCCCAGATTTCAAAACCGGGCCGCCGGCGCTGGGATTTCAAAACCCAGAAACCAGCCGACCTTTTGTGAACCTGGATCTTCCTTTGTCTCCGGTGAATCCGGTTCCCATCGTCAAGATCCTGAGCTTTTTAGGGCTCGTTTCCACTTGCCCAGACACATAAGCCGAAAGCAAAAGCGCCGACCCAGGACCCCCAATAGGGTCTGGCCCTGGAACGGGCCGCCCTGCAAGGGTTCTGGCCAGCAAGAGCTGCTGCCAGGCTATCTCATCTCGCCTTCTCGGGGGGCGGCTGCTAGGCCGAGGGGCAGCAGGAGAGGCACGCCCCCCGCGGGCTGCAGGGAGAATCACCAGGGCGCTGGCCCTGCCGGGCTGATCAGACCGGGTTTCGACACGGAGGGTGATGTGTTTTTGATTGGGTTTCTGGCCCAGTGCACTGCTGCCTCTCGCTGCTGGTTCCATTCCCCACCCACCTGCCGCCTTCCATCAGTGCAGTGCTGGGCTCAGCTTGTTCTTACTGAACTCGTCAGCGCCCTGACCGGGGGTCCGCCTGCTCTGTTCAGGCGACAGAGACCCAGATCGCCGCCGGTGGAGGAAGAGGCCGCGAGAGCCGTCCCCCCGGAGC